GGCTTCAAGGAAGGGAAGCTTAGTTTTGGATTTTTTGAGGGAGTTTTGGGTTGTTTTGGTTTTTGCTCACTGTAGAAGTAGTATCTTAGATGCACCATAAGAGCCTTTTGTTATTAGAGCATGCTGAGTGGTCTAGCCCTAGAGTGTAGTTCAGTGGCTAGCAATATCAACTTAATTAGCAGTCCCTTATTAGTAAGTTATTGAGTAGGGGAGGTGCAGTATTTCTCTTACTAAGGCAGTACCATTTTTGTGCTCTGTAGCAATTAACTGCTGCTGAGGCTTTGATTTAATGCTTCCTTAATTACCACCTCTAGTGCTACACTTCTGAGGAGACCATCAGTGCGTGCTCCTCTCTCTCTGACCCGCCTGAGCAGCAAAGGTGGCTCATGCCTACTGCATGGTTGAGTGCTTTTGGAGCTAGCAAACCAAAGAGGAGTACTGGAAGCGTAGGGTTGCTTGCTACAGTATTCTTAATCTGTTAATTACTTGTAGACTTAAGCAACCTTTGTTCTGTTACATAGCTGAAGTTCTCAATGCCTGGATTGGTTTTAGGATGACATACCTGATTTAATTTCAGAAACAATAAAGAGCACACTTGAGAGTCGCGCTTTGTGCTGCTTCATCTTCCTCGGCTGGAGGATATCATGTGTAACGTAGCTGTGGTCCAGCAGCTCTCTCTGCCCTGGAGTGACAAGTGTTTGCTATTAATAAGCATGAAATGCCGTTGTAGGCATGCTTTTCTGGGGAGGCAGGGGGGTGTCAGCTCTGTGAAGCAAAATAGTATGGATGCTGCTCTCAGTCACGGGAAGGCTGAGTCAATAGTCGCTGAGGCCATTTCTTCCAGAGCTGTGGTCACACTGATTCTGGGGTGGCGTCAGCTCTGCTCTTCCCAGGTGGGCATTAAAGAGAAGGGGTTCCCTCTGCCAGGGTAAAACATGCTCCCTGTTTCTCAGTTTCCGTCAGTAGCAGGATACGTTTAGAAATCCAACCCAAATTAGTAGTAACTTCTCTCTGCAGCCTTTAGATCTGAAAAGCCCTTAAAAAATAGGGAGAAATGCATCTTTCGTGTCAGAAATCAACTCTAATGACAAAAGCGGTACCCTAACAGAGTATGAATAGCAGGGTAAGGGCTGGTGAATCCTGGCTCTTCAACTGAAAAGCTGCTGATTCTGCCCTAGTTTAAAAAGTAAGAAAATACTGCTGAACTGCCCCATCTTGTCTCTTCGATACACTTAATCTTAAGATGTTTTGCATGTCAGAATTATACTCTGCTCAAGAAAAAAAGGGCAGTGTAATCACAACTGTATGCTGAGGTGGAAAGTTGCCAACCTCAGCTTACTTAGGTACAGTGAAGGAAAAAGTAGTTTCACCAGAACTGGACCTAGTAAGACATTCTCATCGATGATTTCATTTGGGCTCGACATCTGAGATCAACTTGAGTCCTTCCTGTCACTGATTGCTGTCCTAAAGGGGTCTGAGGGAGAGGGGCTGTGATCTAGTGACACCGAGCACAGGCTGCAGCCTGGACATCCACATGGACACCTAAGAGCAGGAGAGGATCTCGTGCTGCCTCACTGCTTTTCTACATCAGCCAATAGCTACAAAATTGGGAGAGCAGAGACACACACACGCAGAGGAACAATAAACCTTTCTTCCTCAGAAATCCACTCCAACTTATGCAAATAAGTAACAGCTTCACAGATGTAAAAGCAGCACTTTCAGTGCTCATGTCTGGATCCCTCTGCTATTACAAGAGTTCCAAGTACATTGCCAGTAGGAATTAGGGAGCTTTCTGTTTCCTAAGAGGGTCATCAGTCAGACTGGGGTTTCCTTTCCCAAGTTAAACCTGAGTCAGAATTGAGGATGAAACCTGTGACTTGTCTTGATACTTTTCTCAAGGGAAAGCAATCCCCAACCTTCACAAGCTCTACTGCCTTACCAGTCAAAAATGGGTTGGGGTACCAGCGTTGTAGGACGTTGACAGTGTATCTTCCAGAATTCCTGGAGCAAGAGTTTTTTTGGTGATCCTATTTCCATTTTAACTACTGCAACCAAGTTGTAGGATCCTCCCCAGCCTTACAGTGGATCAAAGCAGATTCCCTGTCAGTAATGCAGACAGAAAGCCAATGTAACTGGTGCTACAGCATTAGGAGTCCAGTGCAAGAAGTTCTGCAACAAGAAACCTTTCTTATTTGTACATGCCATCACTTACCCTGGGTTATGTCCAGTAATACTGAGTTAAAATTTAAAAAGGGAAGAAATGCCAACGGGGTTCTACTGCTGATGAACAGGTAAGCTTATTAAGGCTAATGAGTGGCCATAAAAGCTTGACTTTTCAATATGCTAAACTTCCTGTACTTGTTAATCAGCTTAAAAGTTTCAAATTCCATCAGACTCACCAATGTGAGTTTACATCTTTTATTCCAAAAGATACTTATTAAGGAATCATGAGCATTTTGGCAAGCATTTTGGCACACAACCGATTGTACTTTTAAAAACAGTATTCATCATACATTTACTTTTAATGCTGCCTGTAAGCACACTTAAAAGAAACAAAACAAAACAAAAAAGTATTAAGGGAATACAGTATTTCACATGTGGATTTCTGCAGTTGAGACAGTGAACAAATATTTTATCAGTCCTAGTTTTCACACCGTAAGTAAATTCTGGTCACTGTTCTGAAGTTTCAACTTTGCTTGATCTTGCTTTTAGACCCAACAGTTCTGTTCTCAGTTCTCCAGGCTTAGGAGGTATTTCAGGTATACTCTGTTAAAAACAGAGAAAGACATCAGTGTTGTGACAGAAGAAAAACTAAACTCACAAAAGAGTAAATGAGCATTCTCTGTAAGAGACAGCATTATAGCTAAGTTGTGATTACACTGCCCTTTTTTTTTTGAGCAGAGTATAATTCTGACATGCAAAACACCTTAAAGATTAATGTATTACTGTTTTGTAGTTGGACTTTAAAGTACCGAAGTATGATTTGAAAAAAAAAAAAAAAAAGGAGGGAAAAGGAGAAACAGACAGTTTGTTTTAAAGGAACAAAGCTTCTTTTTTGCCATTTAAGAAAGTAAGTTTGGCTGAGATGTCTGGTACAGCTGAAGTTTCCAGACATATTCTGTCTCTTGGTGACAGAAGAAAAAGTTTCACTGCTTCTACCTTTCTGGTTTAGAAATTAAGCACTGAAACGAGAGATGAAATTTAAAATAAGAAACTAGATGACAGGACATTATAAAAACTGTACCTCCTCAAAACCTAAAGAGGTGTAGAACATTAGGTCATTCTGAATAAATATGCCTTTTTGCCTGCAATGAAGGCTAGAGACTACTACAGTGCATAAATTCTTATGCATCTATCAATGATTTAAGCCTCCTCGCTTAAATTCTGACATGACAGATCAAACATGGTGGTTTTTTTAAACTTACATCTGATTTTACTATAGCAGGGTGTTTTTCAAAAAACCGAAATTATACAAGAGCAGGGGGAGGAGATAAAGCTCACAAGTTAAGGAGGCCTCCAAGAGACCAAATCAACCACTAATATCCCGGGTGGGTGGTCTCATGTGGAGCATGAGCCTCTGTGATTGTCATTTTGAGACTTTCAGTCTGTCATTGTTTCTCGTGTAAACTTTTGGTCACCTTCATTTCTGTTACTGGGTTACTGGGGGGGGGGAAATGTCTATTTAAATATAATATAGCCCCCTTCAGAACCCACTTCTGAAAAAGCCTGCAAGAGCTTTTTTATTTTTCGGTATTTGAAGGCAGTTTCTTCAAAAGGAAGACCCGCCCCCCGCTTCCTCAGCCCCCGATTTCCAGCCGCGGGAGCCAGGCCCAAACCCCCTCACACCGAGACCCTCCGTCCCGCAGCCTCCCTAACGCCCCCGCAGCCGCCCCCCCCCCCCCCCCCGCCCCCCACACGGCCCGCCCCCACACCCCCTGACCCA